TGCCCATAGCACCCAGGGGCACCCACCCCCAGCACGGAACCCCCGAACCGCTTTAGCGGCCGCCTTCTCCTACTTCCGGCCCCGCCCCACCCTGCCGGATGTTTACTCGGGTCTCGACCAATCGGCGCTCGGGACTCGCGCCCCGCCCCACGACTGCCGGCCCACCCACGACGCGGAGCTTTCCAAGTGGCCTAGACTCGAGGGAAGGGAACGCGGGCACTGAAGCCAGCAGCGCGCCCCGCCCCCGAGGAGCGCGCCCCGCCCCCGGCGCCGAGCCCCGCCCCACGGGGTTTCCCCTAGGAAGCCGGGCCAAACCATTGGCACTCCTGGGAGGGGGCAGCGGAGTGCGGGAACTAGGAGGAAGGAACCATTGGGAAGAAGCGGGGGCGGGAGGGGAGGCGAGAACGCAGGGAAACACCAACCCTGAACTCAACTCAGGTCCTCCGAGTGGATCCCACTCGGCGATCTTACAGTAACTAATGATAAAGCAGCATTGCTAATCGCCTGGTTGGTCCCCTGCTTCATTAACTGCTCGTCACCTCCCTGAGATGACAGTGCCCGTTTCTTCAGCGCTTTCACGGGGGAGACACCGAGCGCGATGCAAACTGTGTGGCTGGAAATTCTGATTCGGAAGCATGGTGTGCTTTCCCTTTTTTCTTACTGGGATATTTCGCACAGTCACAAAATCGTAGAGGATAGTAAAACGGACCCTTTCGAACTCTACAGCCATTTTCAACAATAGCAACCCCCCCATCCAGCGGAATGGTTTTGAAGCAAATCTCAGACGCCACGGTATCTCGTCCTAATACTTTAGTATTTATTAGACACGAGTAGGCATACCCACACGATCACGAACAAATCTAACAAAATTAACAATCATTCCTTAAAGTTGGTCCAATAATCCGTGTTCCAATTTCTGATGGCCTCACAAACGCAAATGTCTGGTAAACTTTATTGAAACATATGTACACCAACACCCCAGCACCCGGGAATCCCCTCCTGCCAACACCCCATTATTACCTTCCTCAAACTAGTTATCTTCATCCTGACCTTTAGCGCTGTAGGTTAGTTCTGTGAGACAGCTATTAAAGCTTGTGGGCTGAGCACCCTGGTTTGCAAAAGGGTATGAGATGGCAGTGCACCCCAACATCCATTGTCAGAGTCCCCACAGAGACGGAAGTCTTCCTGACCGTTAGTCAAAGACTGAGGTCATCTTGTCCTCGGGCAGGAAGCCTTGGGGAGTGGATTGCCTCCACTCCTCTCTGGCTAGCCCTGGGAGGGGCAGTCTCTCTGAAGGGCTGCTGAAGTGTGCGTGTGTCCTTGATGGAGGTCATTGTTCACCCAGTCATGGTCGTGCCCTATCCGTTTGGCCCTGCCTGCCTTAATCAGAAGGCCATGAACCAATCTTGTAAGCCCTTCTAACAATATACATGTCCCAATAGTGGTCTTGCCCCTGTTCCTGTGATGTGCTGCTCTGCCACCAATCATGCTTCTGGGACAGTTTCCTTCTCACCCTGCTCTGAATCCTCTCTATCTCAGTTGAGAACGCTGGGTGCCATGCCAGCCCCCTGTTGGTGGTCTCGCTCGTCCACATGATGTGTCTGTGTCTTTGTCTCTTCTCGGACAGGACTTAATACATGGTCTCTTTAAATTATAGCCAAATGGGGTTTCCTCTGTGTGAGGAACAGAAGTTGTCTCCCCAAAATATGTACCAGACTTAGCTGCTTAAGGGTGACTGTACAATAGGTGATCAGCAAAGTAGGTCAGAGGTTATTCTCCTTAACATCAGCCATCTATACTGGCTAGACTATTAGTCTGACTCACCCTAAATAAGACCCACTCCCTTCTGATAAGGATAATGGTGGTCTGTTTACTTGCAGGAGATACCAGAGAGGGCAAACCCGCCCAAGGGTGACCAAGATTAGATAGTCATTATCAGCTGTCTAGATCAAGCAGACACCATTGTTATTCCACAACCAATGTGGGCACACCCCTAGGTGATTCCCCTCCTATTGATTGTATTGCTTATGTTAATACCCCTATGTTAATATCCCTCCCGGTGACTCAGGTTATTGTCCGCTATCAGGGAACTTGCATGCCTCCCAGAATAGTAATTGTCTGTTTTATTATATAAGACATCAGAGTGATCAAACTTGTGCTAGAATGAAATGTATTGCCCCTTTCTGTGATGTATGACTCTGTAATCAGGTCCCCCTAAAGTGATATGATGCATGGTTAGCAATAAATAATGAGGCTCCCTGGTTCTCGAGAGGGTGGCTGGAGAAGGTGACTAAGCAGCGGCTTCTTCTCTGACGGCTAATCCCCCTCCACGAGGACCATCAAGCCTAGCTGAGGTGAGCTATGCTACCATGAATTGCGTCTGACTCCATTACTTGACTCCATCCCTTAACTCTCATGCGCTCTATGACTTTACTATAATCTCTATTTATTATCGCTGTACAATTGCGCCTACTGAACCTGTGATGTTTTGTGGGGTTCCCTCTTCCCTTTAACCCCACACCTCTGTACCTTCCAACAAACACAGCTATGCAGAATGTGGAATATACCCTTGGGCTTGGCTACTTCCCCTCAACATAGTATCTTTGGGGTTAATCTACGTTTGGGGGTGCAATTAATAGTCTCGTTCTCATTGCTATTCCACTGAACCACAATTTACTTATTTGTCCTACTTTGAATGGACATTGAATTAGTGGCTAAAAGCAAAGATACCCCTGACAGAGCCCTGGTTTCATCAGCAGCCTTAGAATTATTAGTCCAAATGCCATCTCTAGGCCCCCACATCCACTTTCCGACCACCAAGCTGCCCAAGTGAAGTCCAAGGAGACGGGAAGGACAGTAGCCCTTAGGAATCTGGAAAGGTGGGGGAGCAGGTGATTTGGGGGAAAGGTAGATGGAGGAACATGCACATTGACTAGACGGAACAGAGATTTAAGAAACAGAGGTGAAGGAGGAGCATACGTACAGGGTAGTGGTAGACATGAAGAAGATCCTCCTCAAGACCAAGCTGTGCAAATAGAGAGAGCCATCTCCTTCGTCCTTCCCAGTTCTGGCCTGATGGACCAACTGAAGGCCCCTCTGGACTGTCTTTGTCATGAAGCCTTGGACAAAGACTTTGCAGATGTAACGGTTTGCCATCTCAAACCTTTGTAAGAAACAACCACTACCAGCTCTGTATAAAAAGAACAAACTGTGTGGCTTTTATTGGATTGGGTCAGACATACGTAGCCCTGGGGTGTCAGTCCATTTCCCAGATGGCTCTTCTCTTGGCCATACAATTTTCCTTCCTCTTGTGATGACTTCCCCTGTGACAGCACTTATATCGTTTCTAGTTCTTCACCTAAAACTTTGCTGGTGTGAATTGTGTGGTGATGTGAAATTTCTTAATATGCCTCTGACAGGTCCCCAGATTAGGGATAAAGGGGGCCTTCTTCCCGAAAGCTTGCGCTCAATGACAAAGGGCTGTCCACGCCACCGTAAAGGGTTGGGAAAGGAATCAGACACACTCATGAGACCTCGATGGGAAAACCCAGAACGGAGCAGGCTCAGACCCATGTTCCCTAGGCCCAGGTGGGACGTCCACCTGGGCGCACAGAGTAGGCACCAGCGACATGACATCCCACAGGTGCGCCTGAACTAAGCCAATAAAGTTGGCCAACACCCTCCACCACACCCCCCCCTACAGCAATGCAGGATGGGGAGAAAGGCAGGAGCCTGGGGCCTGCTGGCTTTCTCAGCCTCTGGGTTCCACACCCCTGGCCTGGTATTCTTCTCATGTGGTTTTTTGTGCTCTCCTAAGGTGGCCACCTCCAGTCTCGAGGTCGCTCGCGGTCCCCGCGCAGCCTCATGCACTTTCCAGAAGCAGCGTGTACTTTTTGGAGACTGTAACACCTGAACCTTTCCTTTCCCTCATAAAAGTCATTTGGATTCACGGAAGTGTTTCTGCCATGTGAACTCTCTCAGCGCTGTGAAATCTTTCACCGAGGCAAGCCACCCCCAGAAATCTAACACGGCTTCTTTCCATTTCCCCATAGAACTCTCACTAAATGAGAGTGTGGGGCCACGCAAATAAGGACCCTAACTCTGAGCTTGGTCGGCTTTACCGTGCCTTTGCTTCTGAGAGTGCCATCTCGGAAGCGGGAATAGAGAACACTCCCAGGGCCGTCAGGAAAGGAGACCCACCCGCGGAAGTGGCCTGGGTATCCTGCGACGTGCAAATGGCACAGCCTGGCTTGCTGAGCGTGAGGAGGACGTGATGTCGTGATGAAGATCGAAGAGTAGTCTTCAGAATCGGTTGCACCTCAACAGAAAGAAAACAAAAACTCCTCACAACTGGACCAATAAGCAACTTCGTGATGAATGGAGAAAAGATTGACGTTACTGAGGCTTTCGTTTGACTTGTGTCCACAGTCAATAAACGTGGTAGCAACAGACCAGAAGTCAAACATGGCGTATAGCCTTGGGTGCATCTGCTACAAAGATATCTTTACGGTGTTAAAAAACAAGATGTCACTTTGAGGACTAATGTGCACCTGACCCAAGCCATGATATTCACATTTGCATGTGAAAGTTGAATAATGAATAAAGAAAACTGATGAAGAATCGATGCCTCTCAATCTGGTGAAGAATGATAAACACCGTATATAGTTGTGTCTAAGCCGAGTTTTCCAGCACATTTTTAATGCAGTTTTTAAGGTAAAATTAGGTGCTCGGCTGATAGCCCTGTTGGCTTATACTTGAATAGATACGGTGTACTGCCAGCAGAATGAACAAACCTGCTCCTTAGAAATAAGGATGACCCACCTCTCCGCACACTCCCCTGAGAGCTTCAAGATGGTTCGTGCTAAGACTTGGATCCTGAAGAAGCATTTTGAAGGCTACCCGACTCATAGTAACTTTGAGTTGCAGACAACGGAACTCCCAGCCTTAACAAATGGAGAGGTCCTGCTGGAAGCTTTGTTCCTCACGGTGGATCCTTATATGAGAGTGGCAGCCGAGAGGTTGAAAGAGGGTGAGAAGATGATGGGCTAGCAAGTAGCCAGAGTTGTGGAAAGTAAAAACTCAGCCTTTCCCGTGGGAACCACTGTGGTGGCTTCTTCTGGTTGGACAACACACTCCATTTCTGACAGGACAGGCCTGGAAACGCTGCCTGCAGAATGGCCAGACACTTTACCCCTGTCTTTGGCTCTGGGGGCAGTCGGCATGACAGGCCTCACAGCGTACTTTGGCCTGCTTGACATCTGTGGTGTGAAAGGAGGAGGAACCGTGATGGTCAATGCAGCTGCAGGAGCAGTGGGTGCTGTTGTGGGGCAGAGAGCTAAGCTCAAGGTAGGAGGGGAGCTTTCAAATGTTGTTATCCCCCAAATGAAGAAATTTGGAAGAATTGCTATGTGTGGAGCCATCTCCACCTATGACAGTACTCGTCCTCTTCCCCCAGGGCCACCCGCTGAGATTGCCATCTATCAGGAACTCCGCATGGAAGGGTTCATCGTCTACCGCTGGCAAGGGGCTGTACGCCAGAAAGCTTTGAAAGACTTGCTGACATGGGTCTCAGAGGGTAAAAGCCAATACCGCGAAGACGTCAAGGAAGGATTTGAAAACATGCCTGCTGCGTGTATGGGAATGCTGGAAGGAGACAATCTGGGGAAAACAATAGTGAAAGCGTGAGAAAGAACACCTGGAACGTGGAGATCCTTTGGAGTTTGGATCTGTTACCATTTAGTAAAGATGTATGCTGCCTTAAAAAAAAAGAAAGAAAGAAGGATGGTGAGAGTTTGTCTCACATATTGGACATTTTATCAGGAGGGACCAGTCCCCCCAAAAAACATCATGTGGCGAGGGTGGCAGGTAAAAGGGAGCTGATATCAAGGAGTTCAGGAAGAAGGAGAAGGTTTTGAGACTGATCTATGGTAGCAATTGCACAATACTGCTCAATGTGATTGAACTATGGAATGATAGGATATCTGTATCGGCTCCCAATAAAATGGGTTTTAAAAAAAGAACATCATGCTTAGTCATTGAAAAAGGAAACCTCTCAAGGAGATGGATTGGCCCAGTGGCTGCAACAGTGGGCTTACACATGGCAAAGAGAGTGAGGATGAGGATGCTACAGGATAACGTCCCATCCTATTGCACATCGGGCCGCTATGAGTCAGAACCAATGGCAGCTAGCCAGGACATGTCTGTGCATGGAAACACCTGTGCATTTCTTAGAGCTTCATGTTGCTATCGACTCTACTTTTATGAAGGTTCAAGAGGAGGTCTATAGCTAGAAGTAGAATTACCAGGCTGTATCTTATTGTTCATTTATAACCGGATATGAAATAGTCAGGGTCCCAGGTGGTTCTACCCACCATTGATGACGTGAGAGTTCTACTTGCTTTGCGTCCTTGCCCAAACCAAAATCAACCCCCCCACAGCTGAGTCTGACTCATAGCAAGTTTATGGGACAGATGAGAAACACCCTATACTATAGTGTTTGTAAAGCTGTAGATCATGATGTAAATCCAAGACTGTAAATCTTTACGGAAGCAAAGGACCCCAGTCTCTATGACCCTGAGACTAGAAGAACTAGAAGTTGCCCAGCTAGCGCGACCAACTGCTCTGAAGGGGTTGTATTAGAGAGGAGTGGGAGAAAAATTGGAACAAAACTCAAACCGTGAAAGAGGCCATGCTTACTGGTTGGATAGAGAGACATGGACCTGAGACTTTGTTTCTTAGCCATCTTTCAGGCCTAGAACTGAACTCACCCCTCACCCCCCACCCCCCAATCAATGGTCCTTTACTCCTATTGTTTGCTAAATACAAAAGTCAATTTAAAAGAATCTTGGGCAACAAGAAAGAAAATCAATTCCATAAACCTAAGTGTAAATGGAATACTACTTCCTAGGAGAGAGCCTAAGAAAGTATCTTTGGGACCTTGAGCTAGGCAAAGATCTTAAACTTGACACAAAAATTTCCCCCAAAGCTATGTATTTAATTTTTTTTTACAAAACAACCTTATCATTTTCAAATTTCTCTCCACAACACTTAATACATTTATCAAATCAGCAATTCCATTCTTGGAAACATTTTTCAAACTCATCTGTTTGGATGGCATCTCCCTTGTTTTTTTTCTTTACCTCTTCTAAGTTGTCGAATCACTGACCTTTCATGTCCCTCTGCATTCACAGAAACAAAAAGAAGTCTCACAGAGTGAGGTCAGGTGAGTAAAGTGTGGGGGCAAGAGAGGTATGCTGTTTTTTGCCAAAACTGGTGCACTGAGATGGCTGCATGAGCAATTATCACGTGGGCAAAACCAGTCTCCGGTCTAACACAAATCAGGCCTTTTTTGTCATGCACTATTATACAGTCATTTCAGAACCTCTAAATAGAAAGCTTGATTAACTGTCAGACCTGGTGGAATGAACTCCAAATGCAATACAAGTTTACATTTTTATCTGTACGGGAAGTTCATAGAAGTCTAGACAAGGTTTGTCAACAATCAACAGTTCATGTGGGGAACAGAAGGATTTCTCTCAAACTGTCTCCCTCAAAAGTATGTACCAAACATAGCTGCTTGAGAATGACCATACACTAGGCGGTCAGCGAAAGTAGGTCAGAGGTTATTCTCCTTAACATCAGCCATCTAGAGCAACTAGACCGTATAGTCTGACTCACCCTAAGTAGGGCCCACTCCCTTCTGATAAGGATAGTAGTTATCTGTTTACTTGGAGATACCAGAGAGGTCAAACCCGCCCAAGGATGACCAAGGTTAGGTAGCCATTATGAATCTAGGGTCTGCCCATCTGGTCACATGTGTAACCCTAGACCCTCCCATTCCTATGGGCACACCCCTAGGTCATCCCCCTCCTATTGTTTGTATTGCCTATGTAGCTACCCCTCCCTATCACGTAGGTCATTGTCTGCTATCAGGGGGCTTGCATGCCTCCCAGGATAGTAATTGTCTGTTTTATTGTATGAGACACCAGAGTGATCAAACTTGTTCAAGGATGAAATGTACTGCCCCTTTCTGTGCTGTATGATTCTGTAATCAGATCCCCCTAAAGTGATATGATGCGTGGTTAGCAATAAATAATGAGGCTCCCTGGTTCTCGGAAGGGTGGCTGAGGAGGACAAGGCAGCTGCTTCTACTCTGGCGGCTAAGTGCCCCCCACGAGGACCACCAAGCAGTGCTGAGGTGAACAATGCTACTATGTAATATGTCTGACTGTATTATTGTATTATCTCTCATGCTCTCTGTGACTTTACTATAATCTCTACTTATTATCGCTATACAATTGCGCCTACCGAACCTGTGATGTTTTGTGGGGTTCCCTCTCCCCTTTAACCCCACAAGTTCACCTTTTTTTGAAATGAGAAAACCACTCCTGCACTCAAGTTTTAACTTCAGCGCTATCCTTGTAAGCTGTGGTCAACATCACAACAGTTTCTACAGCACTTTTCCCGAACAGGAAACAAACTTTCACAGCCACATGCTGTTCTCATAAAATTGGCCATCACAAAAAAACGAGGTTTGAGCAAAACTGCTTTTGCAAAAAAATTCACTATGACCAGAGAGAACCTTCCCAGGTGACGCCACTGGGTGCACTAACTCAGAGCGAGTTGCTCGATGCTCACCTAGCAGGAAAAATGCAACCATGAAAGCTCCACTCTGCCCAATGCAATTCTGGGGAGTGGGGGACGGTTGGTACCCCCTCATAAGTGCTCACCATAAAGGGGGAAATAGTACTTAAAATTAAGTTTTTCTGTTCATCAAAAGGCACATTGTGAGTTGTTGGGTGCCATCCGGTCGGTTCTGACTCGTAGTCATCTAAGTACAAGAGAATGAAGCCTTGCCCTGTCCTGCCCCATTCTCACAATGGTGGTTATGTTTGACCCCATTGTGGCAGCCATGGTGTCCATCCATCTCCATGAAGGGCTGCTTTTTTGCTACCCCATCTACTTTACCAAGTAGGATGTCCTTTCCCAGGGACATAACATGTCCAAAGAATGTGAGATAAAGTCTTGCCAGTCTTTCTTCTAAGGAGCTTTCTGGCTGAACTTCTTGTGAGACAGATTTATATGTTCTTTGGGCAGTTCATGGTACTTTCAATATTCTCCACCAGCACCGTAACTCACATGCACTGATTCTTCGTCAGTCTTCCCCAGGCAATGTGCAGCTTTTCAGCAAAAGACACATGAGGAAGGAAAGGCAAGTCAGAGAGGAAGAAGATACTTGGAACACAGATATTTTGCCAAAGAACTCATATCCGGAGTATCAAAAAGACTTCCACAAAATAGAGACATCCTAAATTTTTTTCCCTTTTTTTTTTTTCTTTTTTAACATTTTATTAGGGGCTCATACAACTGTTATCCCAATCCATACACACATCAATTGTGTAAA